AGTCTGGTGCACTAAAGCTTGCGCTATGCGCATAATTTAGGGAAAAATTCGATTACAAGGGACTATTGTATACCGCCTTACTTTGCATTTATGCCAGAATCGATTTTCAAATCAAACAACATCATATAAATTAGGACGAAAAAGATATAAAAGTGACAGAGCAAAAGAATAATTAGAAAAGGAATAGTCAACAGCTGAAGACAATCAGTACTGTTATTTTAGGGAATTGTTTTATGTTCTTTCCCTTTCTCCCTTTCTGTACTTTTCTGTCCATATTTATTTAAATGGTCAACCATACCCCAGCTCTCTGTTTTTTGCATCTTTGCCCCATTTTTTTTTTGAAAATTTGCCACATATTTTCTTGAAAAAATATTTCCCTTCGTACTATGCACAAATTCTTATGTATAAAAATTTTCTTCCAATAGAATGATGTCAAACGACATTGTTGAACTTAGATATGTCTGGTTTAAATCGTAAAGTTCAACTCAATTATTAAATTAAGATTAGTCAATTTTATTCAAGATACATCATGCAGTAAAATAGGACTTATAGTTAATAGGATTTTTTTGCAAAAATATGTGATTAAAAAAAAGGAGAAACCAAAACAAAGTGCATTATGTTTGCTACACCATTTACAATAGTGTTGTTCAATTATGAAATCTTTATGATTAGAATTATGATAAAGTGAGTATGTACGTTTGTTCCCCACCCTCCAGGACAAATATAATGTAGCTACATGCATCTTAGTAGAATATATATGAAAGAAAGGGTAATGATGAAAATACTAAACATTACAAATTTTGTCAAGCTTCTAAAGGGTGATTGGTGGCCCTATTATTTACTAGTAAAGTTGTACGATTATTCGTAAATATATTAGTACTAAATAAATTGTACATTAAATTATAAATAGAGACCTTACCAATTCTTGTAACAAAAGAATATTTGAATGAATCGTGATAGTAGGTACTGATCGATGACGATTATCAGAATAATCGCCTATATATAACATAATATAAATCCTAAAGCGGAAAAAGAATGAACCCCCAAGTCGGGAATCAAGAGACGGGTTAGTGGGCCCAGTATCAGCTACCGAGTCGAATTCAGATTCACATTTCGGGTCAGGGTCAGGAGTCGGGATCCAAATTAGGTCAGGAGATGAGAGTCGGATTTTGGATCATGGTAGAGAGTCGAGTCTTTAATTGTGGTCTATATCGGGAGTTAGGTACTAAGTCGGGGTCAAGAGTCAGATCGAGATCGGGAGTCGAAATTTGGGTTTCAGGTCGAGGGTCCAACTCCCTACTCCTGACCCAAACCTAACTACCCGACTCCCAAATGGACACTCGACTCTGACCTGATTTCCGACCCTAACTTGGGACATGAATCACAACCTTGACCTAGGACCTGACTCCCGATACCGATTTAGGACTCGACTCTCAACCCCTAAACCTCGACCCAACTTATGATCTCGATTCCCGACCTAGCTTATGACCTCAACTCCTTGACTCTAATTTGGGAGCAGACTTATGACCCTGGCTCGCAATCCAACTCTCGACATTCTTGGGATGATATTTTCTTCTTACTAATCAAGCATAAGTAAGAAAATCATCATTTCTTTTTTTTTAGATGACCGAGTAAGAAAATCACTTATTTTCGAGGAAAACATTTTCCTTCCTACCATACTCTGAGTAGAAAAAAACTTATTTACCTCATGTTTGTACCAAACTATATTAGCTTACTGTGGTTAGAGATTAAATTGAAGTAAAAACATATTTTTAATTAATTATGATTAAAGGTGTTTGATATAGAGTTTTTCTGAAAGATGTTTTTCAATTTTCTCAGATTTGACTGTTCAAATTTTTTGAATTTCTCTAGGAAAATAGATCAATTCCTTATAACTAAGGAAAATGACTTGGGAAAAATAAGTTTCACAAGTGACATTTCACATTGATTGTGGCCTCCCACCCTCCAACACATTTTATCTTCACCTTCACTTCAATAGTCCCCATCCCACCACCTCACCCCCAACCCCCAACCCCCAACTCCACATCTCATAGTATTTTTCTAAAGTATATATAAATGTTTTTAATCTAATATTATCTTTTTACTTATTGAACACAAAAAAAACTAATGTAAAAACATGACATGTATATTATTGATTGATATGAACATTAGGTATGGAGTTTTCTTTTTTTCAAAGGGGGAAGTGTGTAAATTTTTCTCTTTTTGAGTGTGTATGTATGTGTTTTTTTGAAGAATTGCCAAGACATGGGACAAAGAGCATGAGTATGATAGTTATGTATTGATAGAACCAAGAAAACAAACTCTTGTTTTTTACCATCTGTCCCTTCTTACACTGAAAATGACATATCGAATCCTCATTTAATTGAACGCCCAATTATACCAATTTATCACCCTTTTCTTACGTCTTTTTTCAAAACCAATTGCCTTCTCTTTTTATCTATAAATAATAACCACATATATACACTTTCATATATTATTTCTCTTGTGAAGAAAATTAAACATGGTGCTTATATTGGTCTTTCATCATCCCTCTCAAGGTTATGATGATGATGATAATGATAAAATGAGGTACTTATCTTGAAATATGAAGCGGCGTTATCCCTCCTGAGCTTATTCTTCTTATATTCTCTTCTCATCTTTTCTAACTTTAGAGGGATGGTTCGAGTTTTCTTGACCTTGCAAGTCCGAGGTCTTCTCATCTGACCCTCAAAGTGACAAAACTGTTACAATTCTCATCTCTTTTCTATCCCTCCTCATGAGCTTTTACTTTTTTCAAAATAAAATCCTGACTAGCTAGCTAAGGTTATTGGGCTATGTCACTTGTATTTCATATTATTGTTATATATCCAAATACTTGTTCTTGTGCCTTGTCGTGTATGCAAAGGTTTCTTCTATGTATCAAAAATATTGAGATGTAGTGTATAAATATATAATTTAGTTTATGATTTCTCTGCTCTTTATGTTCCTCAAGTTTATAATTATGAGGCACAGTTGAAATTTCAGGATTTAAAACTTCTAAAGTTTGATTGTAATTTCGTACATAGAAGCTTTTAGTTTTTCTCAAATAAAATGATGATATTTGAAACTACTTAAAAAGTACGTACGAACGTACTACAAATCTGAAAAATTAACATCTTAAAATTAAAATATTTCAAAGACATGTAAAGAAATTCAAATCTAAGATAAGCTTGGTTTGACTTTTGAAATTTCAGTTCTGTCACGTAAATTAGAACAGAGACGGTAATAATAGTTAGTTGTCGTTTAGGTTTTTAGATTCAATAATAACAAATGGAAGAGCTTTTAAGTCCATTTATTCCAGCATAAAAAGGAATGAAAACGCCAATTCCTTATTCCTTTGGCATATATAATATTTTTCCTGTACATGGACCCAAAATTGTACTAGTATGTCTTGGAAGCTGGCTTATTGGAATAGTAAAGAAAGATATATCATTGAAATTACTAATATCATTTTTTCAAGGAATTTACGTTTTAGAATATGTCTTCAGTATTTATGCAATAAAAGTGAATTCACTTTGGTACGTATCAGGTCGGGTTCATCCATAAGAGGTGTTTATTAACTCATAAATTTATCGTTCTTCTAAACTCAGCTTAGGATATATAAATATATTGTCATGTGGACCGTAGATATTATGTCATTGTTTGGCAAGCTGTTGTAAATTTCCGATGAAATTCTTAATAATATCCTAAAAAGTTGATGATTTATTCGAGAAAATATCTCGTTTTTGGACAAATTTTGTATAGGAAACAGTTTCTCTATGGCCATAGAATAATTACTGCACGAAAAGTAGTCAGACAATTCAAAAGAGAAGCAAAAACAAGTTAACAAAATGGAAAACCATATTTGGCAATATTGAGTTGACATTTCAACGACAGGACAGTAGAGAAAAAGTTTGGCGATCCGCGGTGAAATTGGAATTTTCACTAAAAGAAATTGAAAATAGAAAGATGTAAACGCACAAATAGGCTAAAGGGATACACTATCTATTATATATACAAAATAAAATAGTTTTGACATTATATACAATGTTTCCAATGAAGAAGGTTCAGATGAAACCTTGCGCCCCTAACTCCGCCCAGCTCATGGGACTCAGAAAAGGCTAACCATACATAAAGTAGTCCAGGATGTTGCTTGAGGTAAGAATTTAGACAACACTAAAATAGATTGTAATCATGTATCAATGCACAAAAATATTTATCAATTTGCAAATTGTGAGCACCTTTGCTAATCTAATAAAAGCTCCCAACTAATGTTATAAGGCTGAAGTGTGAACAATCAACCTAAATAGCAGTTCATTCAATCGCTTAACCTAAAATAACTAGCAGATGTAAAATCCGTGTGTAATATGGATATAATCTATGTATACTGGCTAGAAAAACTAAACAGTAAATTCATCCAGCTATTACTGGTTCATTTGTATGACGATTCAGTCTAACGTATTTAAGTGGTTCATACGTATGGACGATGTTACAGAAAAACCAACATGAACACTTTTTGCAAAATACATATTGACACTTCAATTTTGCCAGTCCAGTATATATATACTTCCTTTCTTTTTTAGAACACTTATTACTCCTATTATCGAAACATAAGGTATTCATGAACGTAATTGAGACAATTGTGGCCTACGATTTGTACATTTGATAGAAGGGGGAAAAATGGGCATTCATCAAATAACACTACTGCTGTCTGCCAAATGATCTTCATAATAAACTACAATTCGATATAAAGAGCAAACGACAGCATCTCCAATAACATAGAAGGGCAAAAACTTACCCACATCGATCGAGAGGTTTATATCCAACCAATGAATGCAAGACATGTGTCTCTTCATAAACAAGATTTATCACTTAACCATGACTAATAAGTGATATGAGTACTTGCTTTAATTTTTATTCAAGTTAAGTACTACTGTGTGGAGATAGTACTCCCACTACTTCCAAATGAACTGTAAACCAAATTAAGATAAGTTCCTTACACTATGCTTAAACACAACTTTCAGATCAACTTCCACCACAATACAATCTTTGACAAGATAACCATTTTTCTCATCATACAACTGAGTTAAAGGCATATAACCTGAAAAACCCCAAGTCGGTGCGGTGCTAGAAAACCACTCACAATCTGAAAAAAAAGGAAAAATATAAACTATTAGACATGCAAAACTTTGCTACATACAAATAGAGAAAAAAAAAAACATTTGGCTTACAAGATAGCTTTTTGCATCCACCATTTATCTGATCTTTGAGGTTTATGCTGCAATTTGCCTTCACTTTTTGATGTTGATTAAAGTCCTTAGCATTAACAAATTTTAGGTATATTGAGATATAACATCCCTTACTGGTTACATTGCCTTGTGGATACACCAAGAGCTTCCTACACAAGAAATTAACACAAAGATTAAATGAGTGATGGTACTAAGATAGAACAAATGAGTGATGAAGGAAGTACCAATTGTAACCTCCCACAGTAAATTCTTCAGAAAGCCAATCTTTGCGAAGTTTGGAGAAATTACAGATCTTCCATTGACGCTTAAACAAGTCGTTAGATTTCACCATAGACAAACATTCACCAATTGCTTGTCTATGTATGATGAATATCTCTGCTCCAAACACACATTTGTCATCAACAAGGTATCCATTAGATGGATATTTAAATGTTTTGTGAGAAAGAAATTTGGGAAGTCCCCATAAGGTCTTCATAGGTTGAAAACGCCGCATTTTTCCTAAACCAAGCCATTAATATTATTACAGCATCACAGTTTAGCCAATAATGGAATTCAACCTTAAACATTAATAATATTGTACCTCGTACTGAAAGATAATTGTCGCGGAGTTGATTGAACACAAAGAAGGTAAATATAGCATTGACCTCCCAACCAGCACGCATGGAATTTAACCCTGTAATTGCCAAGTAAACTGAAATATGTCCACTTCCATTTTCGCGTGTGTTCCCATTTGGATAAATGATCATTTTCCTGTATCAAGTCAAAACGCAGATCATTTAGAATAAACTTCGATTAATATTTACCATTATGTAGTCTCTTTATACTAAAATGTTCGATAGAAAAAATATAATGCATGACATATGAGTCTTACCATTTATAACCACCAGCATTAAACACATTCGATTCAAACTTATCAATGCCACTCTCTGAAAGTAGAGAGAAAGACTCAATTTTCAACGAATAGTGTGTTGGTGAAGCATCTCTAATTTCCATCATCAATTCTGCAGCTATTGCACACATCAAACAAAAAAGATAAACTTTATTGCAATTGTTCTTTTAAAAAATTAAGCATAAAACTAGTCAAGTAAATAAAATGTTAGTTCTATCTAATGACACTTCAACAAATAGAGTGTTGTCTCTAACCGCTTATACTTTTAGACAAAAAGACACAACTCAACACGATATCAAAACAGGCAAAAGCTTCCAAGTGTAAATCAATAAATTAAATATCTCCACTAATTATTTGACCCATAAGAAAAGTACATTAATTGTGTGCTTGCTAAAACCATAAGACTGCTACAGAATTAAGACCAGCCAAGTAGTGCTACAGTTTCATTTCACAATTATAAAGAAGAAAAGTGAAAATAAATGGAAATTTAAACAAAAAAAAAAACCACAATAAACATGATCTGTCTATCTCTGCATTATGCAGATTAATTGTTTAAAGGATGATCTAAATGTATGATCCGTTATTACCTTAATATTTTCTTTTTATTTTAGCCTTTTTATTAGTATTTAATAAATACTTATCGTATCATTTTACCTTACCTTTTTCATAGTAGCTTTACCTCTGGAGCGAGCTATCTTTCATTGTTGAGGCATTATGTAACTAGGAGAATGATAGAATCTATCCAAACATTATATTCATTAAAATAATATAGTACGATACAATATAATACATTATGAAATAAAACCTTCGTCTTCAAGAACAACGGATTCGATGTTACTAGGGCAGTGGAGATCAATATATTCCATGTTACTAGGGCTGCAGAAAACAATCGGTTCCATGTTAATAATTATGCAAAATCTAATAGCTATTTTCCAATATTTTGTTATGAAATAACCTGCGCAGATATGGAGTATTTAAAAGATTAGAATTTATCCTGCCTTGGAGACTTTTAATTAATGTGGACTCATTCTACACGGTAAACGGTTGTTTACTTTACTGTGTAGGTTAGATTATTTTATTTTTAGATATTGCTAAGTCAAAATAACTTCTAAATTTTTTTAAAAGTAGTATTTTAGGTTAGATAAAAAAAAAATAGTTTTAATATTTATTTTCGAATTAAAATAACAAAAGCAATACTACTAAAAAATTATTAGGAAAAATTACTTGAATGGATATCTTTTAATAAATAATTACTGATTTTAGCGATACTTTTTATTTATTACCATTTATAGCAATATTATGATAAATTTGCAATATGTATTAAAAGCGAATTATGTATGCGATATATATGTATTATAACTGTTTTAAAATATATTATGCTTGTTTGATAAGAAATTGACACATTGTATTATAAGTGTATTAAAATCTGTTATAAATGTATTATTCATCAATAAAACTTGTATTATCTGTGTTTTATAAATTGTTCTCTATAATATATATTAAAACTGTATTATAAATGTATTAAAAGTGATCAAATGAAAAAAATATTATTACTATAAATGGTAAATATTTTCTTGATATAGTATATTTATGTAAGTTTTCAAATTATAACTTAACTTTGTAAGCAAGCCCATTCAAGTTTTTACTTTAATTAAAGGATAATTTATTAATCTCTTTATTAATATTACTCTTTTGCTTCTTTTTAATTAGTTTTTCATCCTCCTACTACGAAGAAAACATGGTGCTTATATTAGTTTTTCACCATCCGTCTCAAGGCGGTGATGATGATGATGATAAAATGAGCCAACAAGCTCATGAGTACTTATTTTGTACCTTGTAGTATATGCAAAGGTTTCTTTGTATGTATCAAAAACAACGAGATGTAGTGTATAAATATATAATTTAGTTTTTAATTTCTATGCTCCTTATGTTCCTCCACTTTTATAACTAGTCTCTGAAAACGTATGTTGCACGTTTGTCCCTTATCACAATAAAAAGTTGAAGTCAATATTTTCTAAATAATTCAAAAATACAAATCGTTTCAGATCTCCGTTATGTGCAAATTTTCAATGCAGTAATTTTTTCTCCTAAAAGTAACCACCATATAGGATAACGTTATTATTAACTACACTAGAAGAAAAATGCAGTATAGAGGAGGACAATTTGGAATAGGGAAATAATAAAACATTTTTTGTTTCATGAATTGCGGACTAGAACAAGATAAACGTACAACCTTCGGGTAAATTGTTACATATCTGTTGAGTTTGGTTCAATTCAATTGTGAGAGTTAAGCATATTTTTTATATTCATTTATGTAAAATGTTTAATGAACAAAATTTAGTATGAATTCATCATTAGTGCTATTTGATATATAAATGAAGGAAACAAAAAAGCTTAGCGCGTTACAAAGCCATAATTTGATGTAAGTTTGCATATATAGTAATTATTTTTTGGCAGAAATATTTAACATTTAATAAAATCACATACCTATGATCAACTATTTTTAATTTTAATGATCTTAACCCACTATCAACTATTACCCATCTTTATAACTATTCTATTGAACAAGGGGAGAAGCTGTAAATATAGCGTCATGCTTTGAATCTAAACACTCGATGGCTTAACTTATCCGAACGGATCAGCTTATAACATGAGATTCATTAAGATATGCGTGAAAAAATTGGAATACGTTCATAGCACAAGCAAAGGTAAAGTCTTTAAAAGGATTTTCACAAGTAAAGCCCTTCATTAAGTTCATAAAATGTCAAAATATAATTAAGCGACTTCGATGAAATTAAAAAACTCAAAAGTTATGTAACCATCTATGAAATTAACATAAATTATACATAGTTATATGTATCTGTGTATACGGACTTTCCATCTTCTACGTACCTATTTTTAGATTAAGCGATTGGATGAACCATTATTTAGGATATAATTATGTATAATATGGAGAAGCAAAGGGAGAGAGAAGCAAAGACAAATTAACTAAATTCACCTGTCAATTAGTAACATCCCACCGTCCTAGAAAGACATAAACACACAAATAAGCTAAAGGGATATGATATCTATTATATATACATAAAAAAATAATTTTGATATTATATACCATGTTTCCAGATGAACCCCTTACGCCCGTCCGCCCCTCCTCTTCGGGAAAGGCTAACAATTGCATAAAGTAGTCCAGGATGTTGCTTGAGGTAAGCAGGTACACAATGCCCAAAATATTTACCAATAGGCAGGTAATTTTTCTTCTTTTGTAAGCACTAAATTTGCAAATTGTGAGCACATTTGTTGTGATATGATAAAAGCTCCCAACTAATCTTATAAGGCTGAAGTGTGAACAACCAACCTAAATATATAGCAGTTCATCCAATCGCTTAAATTAAAAATAACTTTAAAAATAAATTGCAGAAATTCGTGTATAATAAGGATATAACTATGTATAATGGTTAAAAAAAAGTAAACAATAAATTCATCTGGCTATTTATATAAAAAATTCCTTTCAATTATTCCACATTGAAACATAGCAATACTGCCAAATGATCTTCATAACAAACTACAGTTGGATATTAAATAAGCAATCAACAACATCTCCAATAACATAGAGGGACCACATTGAGAGGTTTATATCCAACCAATGAATGCAAGACGTTCATAAACAAAATTTATCACTTAACCATAACTAAGTGATATACATTATTACTTTAATTTACTAATAAATTGTAAACCAAGTTAAGATAAGATCTTTACACTTTGCTTAAGCACGACTTCCAGCTCAACTTCTACCACGATACAATCATCGACAAGATAACCATTTTTCTTATCATGTAGCTGAGTTAAAGGCATATAACTTGCATAACCCCAAGTCCGTGAGGCGGCAGAAAACCAATTACAATCTGTAAAAAACAGAAAAAAAAAAATGTATTAGACACGTAAAAGGAAATTAATGTTTTGAAAAAGAAAACTATATTATTTGCCTTACAAGATAGCTTTTTGTGTCCTCCATTTTTCTGATTTTTCAGGTTAATGTTGTATTTTGCCTTCAGTTTTTTATGGTGATCGAAGTTGTTTGAATCAACAGAATGTAAGTATATTGCGATATCACATTCCTTATTGTCTGCTTCGCCTTTTGGATATAACTTTAGTTGCCTACACAAGAAAATTAACAAAATGAGTTATGGTACGACAGAACAATATGTATAGAACATACAATTTTGCGCGAAGAAGTACCATTTGTAACCTCCCACAGTAAATTCTTCAGAAAGCCATAATTTGTCAAGATTGGAGAATTTACAAATCTTCCATTCACGCTTAAATGAACCATTAGATTTCACAATGGACAAACATTCACCAATTGCTTGTCTTTGGACGACAAATACCTCTGCTCCAAACACACATTTGTCGTCAACAAGGTAACCATTAGAGGCCTCTTTGAATGTTTTGTGAGAAAGAAATTTGGGAAGTCCCCATAAAGACTTGATAGATTGAAAACGTCTCATTTTTCCTAAACCAAGGCAACATAGTTTAGCCAATTATTGAAAAACAAATATATATATATAGAAGTCAAGATAACCAATTAATTAATATTGTACCTCGCACTGAAAGATAATTGTCAGTTAATTGATTGAACACAAAGAAGGTAAATATAACATTAACCTCCCAACCAGGAGGCAGGGAACTTGTCCCAGAAATGGCCAAGTAAGCTGAAATATGTTCACTTCCATTTTCGTGTGTGTTCCCATTAGGATATATGATCATTTTCCTGTATCGAATCCATAAATCCATAAAATGTTCAATAGAAAATATAATCTCAGAGCTTAATAATGCATTAGTGAGGATTGTTATACGAGTCTTACCATTTATAATCACCAGCCTTAAATTCATTCGATTCGATCTTGTCAATGCCACTCTCTGAAAGTAGGGAGAAAGACTCAATTTTCAACAAATAGTGTGTTGGCGAAGCCTCTCTAATTTCCATTGCCACTTCTGTACATATGTGCACATCAAACAAAATGGATAAACTTTATTGTAATTCTTAGGGTAAAAATAGTTCCATCTAATTAATAACCATGGTAGACAAAATATACTTGAATAGATTAAAGCGTTCTCTCTAAAGCTTAAAACTGCAAGATAAAATAGAACAACTCAGCACCAATTAAACTATTACCGCTAATTAACTGCAGCTAAAAATCATTTTTGGTGTAGTATTGAGATGAAAAGACACAATCAAACATAATATTAGAACAAGCAAAAGCTTCTGATTTCAAATCTCACTACCACACAAAAAAATCAATAAATTTTTTCACTTATTTGAGCCATGAAAAATTGTGTATACTCTGTAAAAACTTAAATAAGACGGTTACATAATTCAACAAAAATTTCACAATTATAAACAAGAAAAGTATAAGACCTTCATCTTCTGGAGCAATCGATCCCATCTTACTAGCGTTACGTTATACAAAACCTTTGAGCTCTTTTGTTTTAATATATATACTCTTCTAAGCAGTTGGAGTTCTAAAAGGATTTGAATTCAAGAAAAGTTTAGATAAAACTAATAAGTAGGAAGTAATAAGAAATTTAATTATATTACATTAATCAATTTTTTAAATAGCATAAACTTGAAAAATGTGAGCGTAATGCCGGTGAATTACTGGCTTTAGGTTCAACCCTTCAAATTGTTAGGGTTTTGCTCTGATTTTCTTACTTTATTTGAAAGCTTATTTTTTCCTTAAAGAAAAATCAAAGTATTACCAAATATAATTTTGTTCCATATTTGGACCGTAAAAGTTTGGAAATGTGACCCTCATTCTCATAGAAAAATACAATAGGATCCACAATGTAGTTGTTTAAGAGTTTTAATATTTTTCTTTTATATTACTTTTCATATAATAATATTATGTTTTTAGTATAAGTTTTTGTCATCTAATTTATCAATGTCTTGATTGCAATTGTGAGCTTCTGCATGCCCTAATCACTTTCGAACTCAACACAAGTCACCCTCCAGACAACCTATATAATTACGATTCTCCATAAGAACCATTGATAAAATATAATTTAATCAGGTGTTTATATTAAGGCAATAAATGAAACATAAATTAGTCTTGCATTAATGTTTTTAACAGTTATTTATGATTAAATGATATGCATTTCAAATATTTTTATTTGTTCAGTTTAAAAGTTAATTATTTAGTAAAATATTAACACTCGATGCAAGTAAGTATTTATCGTATTTGTTTGTGATTGAATTTTGGTATATGTGATAGAGTTTTGTGTTATATCTAGAACTCTATATGTAGTGTATAAAGACACTTTTATGTATATCGTATCAATTATCAAGGGGGAGTTTATATTTTCCAAGTTCCATTTTTAGTTAAATTTCTTGTTGAAGTATTTCTCTCTTATTAATCCACATTGCATGTAGCGACTTCCATATTACGCACATCAAATAAATTTTTTAGACACAAAATGACACAACTCAGCACGATATCAAAATAGGCAAAAGCTTTCGAGTGTAAATATACAGAAATTGAAACTCACAATAAACATGATGTCTCTCTCTACATTAATATGCAGATTTTGAATGAATGGTTTAAAGGATCAGCTAAATTCATCATTAGGTAACAATAAAAAATCTCATTGTGTGTAACAGTGATTTGGTCTGATCTTATTTTTCTCGTTTTTATTATTTATCCTACCTTTTTCATAGTAGCTTTACCTTGTAAAGTTACTCTTCTTGTAGTTTATCATTTCAAATTGTCGATGTGTGACATTATGTAACAATGGAGAAAGATACAATATATTCTGACATTGTATTCATTAAAACAATACAATACAATACAATATGAAACAATATGTAACAAACATCAAAACAAAGTGTAAGAGGCAAATATAATATGCGGGTAGAGACTAAATTAAACCTTCATCTTCAAGAGCAAGCGATCCCATGTTAATAGTGCTAAGCCTTATGCAAAATCCTAAAAGCTTGGATTATTTTAGGTATTGTTAAGTCAAGATAACTTTTAAATATTTTTATAAGCATTTTAGGTCTGATAAAAAATCATTTTAATATTTATTTTTAAGTTAATTGAACAAGAAAAAGTCAAAAGTTATAACCTAAGTCCTAACTTTATAAGCAAGCCCATCCATTTTTTATTTTTTTGAGGTGTGGTACCTTCCTTAAAAAATTAATTAAAGATATTAATTACACGGTAATTTATTAATATCACTCTTTTGCTTCTTTTCAAACTTTTCTTGAAACTAGAGATAATTAATGAATAATTATTATCCTCTCCATTTCAAAATAAGTGATTTTTAGTTTTTAGAATTTCAAGAAGAAATTTATCTTATTCTACTAAAATTATCTTTTCTTAATACATGGAGACTTGGTGGGTATATATTCACAGGCTGATTATTAATCAAAATCAAAACCAAATCAATATAATCGATTTTAATGATTAAAATCAAATCAAATATAATACTTTACGTGTTTTTAATTACTTGTCCAATTTTCCTTTTTTAGTTGTAGAACTTCTTGAAAATTTTAAGATTTAATTCACCCACTTCATAATTAATAGGGGTAGGGGTAAAACAATAAATTCACTATGTCAATCACTGTTTTCTTAATAGGTGCAATAATTCAAAAGTAGACAAGTGGGAGTATACATTTATCGATTTAATCGTTATTAATATATTCATTTATTTGATTTAGTTATTTGATTATTAATTATACATGAAAATGAAAATAAAAATAAAAAATTCATTCAAAAGGGAAAGAAAAAAAGAGACAATTACTCATTCAAAAAGAAAAAAATAAATCCTAAAATTAGCACATAAAATGATAACATGGTGTCTAATACAAATGTCTTCATCAAATAAATTGGAATTTTGGTCAAATCTTATTTATTTGCAGTTATTATTTCCAAGTGTTGAAACATGTGATGTCTTAGTTGGTTACTTTCACCGTTCACTTTTAATGGCTATATTTTTTTTTCTAAAGTTAATTTAAGTAATTTTAAAAATGAAATTAGATTGCATTTATTCAATATTTTAAACAAAAAATTAGATATTCAAAAAGTATTTATATTTGACTTTAAAATAAAATAAAATTATGACAATTAAAAATGGACAGAGGTAGTAACTTTTATCCTAGTTTATAGAGACGTCTTGGTTGTAGATTTCTATTTTATTTTTTTAAAATGTAGTTCTGTTTCTAGAATTTGATTTGTAATAGACAACTTAATTAGTAGAATATTTTATTTTTAACTGTTTAGCAATTGTTTAGTTATCAGTTAATTGGTTCCTATTTTTCTGATGGTAAAATTTGGATAACAAAGGATTATGAAGATTATCTTGAGCCTTAACAATAAGTATATAATTAGTTACATTTTATGCATAAATAATGTAAGCAATTCTAAGACTTCAATTTTTGGGGCCTGAAGCTACAACATTAGTTGCCCCTAGATAACATAATTTTGACTCTCCATATGAGTCAACTTAGTTGTATGAAATGGAAATGTTTATCGATAAAATTTATTTTCATATTAAATTAACGAAAATAACATAAACATTGCATAGATATTTTCAATACCTATTTATGATAACATGATATGCGTTTTCACTTTGATTTATTGACTTTTAATATTAACAATTTGATTTAAATATAAACACCAGATACAAATAAATGTTTATCATATACATATCTAATTGGGTTTTGAGGTGATAAATTTTTGTTTTATATTTATTCCAAGAGATAGTATTTTAATTGAGATACATTCGTTGAATTTACATATTCATTATGAAAATAATAAGTGATATAATTATTTTATCCCACAATCCTTATTAATTGGTATTTGATATTAAGTTTTAAAAATGATTTGGAGAATAAGTAATTAATTAATGCTAAGAGTAAAACATGGAAAAAAAATAAGTGTTTTTCTTGATATGTGAAAATCTATTTTGAAATAGTGGACCAATAAAATTGAACAGAGGAAGTAATTAATACTATCTTATTATTTGATGAATTATCCATACATTATACTTGCACTACATATTACTCCCTCCATTTCAAAATAATTGAATTGTTGAGACATTTTTCATATTTCAAATTAACTTAATTGTTCAATCTTCAAGACTACTTATATAATATTCTTCCATTTTACCCTTCAAGCCCCCCTTTTGTACTTATTCTCATGATATATAACACTCATGTTAACTAAGTGAAATTTAATTTTAAAAAATTATGTTATGAGTTCAAGAAACTTTAATTGCTTTGAATTATTCTAAAAGTTAATTTGACAATAATTAAAAAGGATAAAAATGAAAAAGTAGTGTCTAATTTATGTCTTAATGATCTTCTTTTTCTTAAAAGTATGAAACACCCTCAATAATTCAATTAATTTGAAATAGAAGAAGTACCGTATTTTATGAATAAAAGGCAGGTAATTTTTCTTCTATGATAAGCACCAAACCTATAAGTGTTGGTAGAGAACATATAATTGTATTTGCAACACATATTATTGTGACTTGTAAGCAACTTTCAATTGAGAGTTGAAACATTATATTATATTTGTAGATTTGATAAAAGGGGGAAAAACTGGGCAGTTGTTAACTATAAAAATAGCACTACTAGCTAGCTACCAAATCCTCTTCATAACAAACTAGTTAGATAATAAAACGGGCATTGACAACTTCTCCATTAACATAGAGTGGCAAAAGGAGGAGGGTAAAATTTACCGGCATCGAGTGTTTACCTCTGATCAATGAATAAAAGACATGTGTCTATTGTAAACCAAGTTAACATAAGCTCTTTATTATATATGCTTAAACGCAATAACTTCTAGCTCAACCTCCACTACAATACAATCTTTGACAAGATAACCTTTTTTCCGATCACGCAACTGAGTTAAAGGCATAAAATTTGGATAACCCAAACTTGGCGTAGTATTTGAAAACCAACTACAATCTGTAGAAAGTAAAAAA